TGTACTTAACGAATTTATTACATTATTCTCATAAATGGATGTCTCGATCTCAGCGGGAAAGAGTTAAAATTCAATAAAACATTGTGTAAGCCGCCTAAGTAGGCTGATTTAGTTCTTATTAGGCAACAGTTGAAAAGCTAAAACTAATGTGGTAAACAAATTATTTATATCTATCAAAAAAATCCATTAGATAAATATTTTTATGCCAACGAAATTCGCGGTCAACGAAGGTCGCGGTTGTAGTGTGCTTCTTTTTGTTTTGGAATGGAATCTCGCGGTTGGCTTTAAGGGCCTTTACAGCTCAGTTCGCGCTGTTTTGGCGAGCGTAGCTCGGCCTGAATGGGCGTGTTTCCCGCGACTAGCGCAAGGGCGTCTCCTGTGAGACTAGAACCGCGGCTTGGGTTGTCGCGGGGTGGTCTATCGCCTGAAGGGCAGGACGGAAGCTCACTGGAGTGAGCGAAGTACACAGTAAAGGTCCTTGCCATCCCCGGTGAAGGTGGTTTTTTACCCTAATCTGATTGTAGAGTATGCTACTGCCGATTCGAACTACGAGCCGATTTCATCCCCACCGCCAGTGTCCCGATATTGCCACTGATTTTAGAGCCGTGTGTAGACACTTCAAGTCAATATCACTCAAAGTTGTATAGAATTATTTTTACCTATGTAATGCTTCTTCGCTAATTCTAGGGTGTAGCGTCGTGTTATTCTTTGTAATTCAGCCACCGTATATTTCTTTGGGTTTATCGCAACACCTGTAAATTCATTATAAAAATAAGTTGTTTGTTGATTACAGTTACGTGTCCTATTGGCGTAATGAGCATTGGCAATCAACTTTCCAAGCTCTATTAGTGAGCATTTTGTCCAATTGAAATAGTGGAAATGTTCCTTTTTTATAAGGATCTGTCATTTGATAATTCTCTACAATATATGACAAACCAGTATTTCTACACTTAAACTTCATATAAATTATAAGTGAATACGAAAATCATAAAAGGGCTGTATTAGCCCGTTCTAGATCTAAAGAATTTGAAAAATTCATAGCCGAGCACAAGTTTTTAGTAAGAAACGATTATGTAAAGTACCTCCTTTGGAGCCTCCAAAAGGGATATTGGAACAAGCACATTTGTACGTCATAAGTGCAGCTAGAGCTTTCACCTCTTCAAGATCAACTTGGTCAGAAAATCTTATACCTGTGACATTTAAAATCTATAACAGTAGCCTCCAAAAAACATACAAAGTACTTTTTTGTAAGTATTAAGTCATAAGCCCTGTGCCTACAATAGGAATAATAAAATACGTTCAGCAATTCTGAGTTAAACGAAAAAGGTTCGTTTAACTCCGTAAGGGGTGGGGCGGCATCGTCTTCAATACTGAAAATTAAGCGTTCCCAACACGCCATTCTTAAGATATCTTATAGGTAACCTGTTCGCTACTCAACTTAAAAGATTTTCATTGAGACAAAACGTTTAACGGTTAGACAACTACACCTACGCCATAGCAATATGCAGATTTTTTGGAAACAAACATCGACTACACCACAACATACATAACGCAAACCTACATATAAGCCTCTTAAAAAGCGCACTTTCTTCGCTCAACGCTTTTCTCCTTCAGAGGCACTTTCACCTTTAATCACTTTTTTAAACACAACATTTTCACTAACGATTCAAAACTTTATACATTTACTAAAAATCTAAAACAACATCTTCCCAACCTGACATATGCTTATTGGGCAACAATAGCTTATAAAATGTACTTAAGTGTAATGTAGAAACTATTGTTAAGTACCGTTAACAAGTCAAAAGGAAGACTAGCTGGCCATGACACAGGAAACCTATATATCCTTTTTATTATGTATAATAAAGCTCTTTCTTTCGTTCTAGATAGGTTAAGATTTTTCCTACACCTACCTATCATAAGAGATATTATTGTCATAAATAATACTGCATAAAAGTGTGACATCGGTCATTGCTGAGCGCTGAGACCGAGAGAAATCTTTAAGGATTTTTATTACCTCCTTTACAAGGAAGCCGATGTACGCTATGTTGCGAGCGATACGCGTGTATGATTTCGTAGTCTCCGTTCTTGCGTTGTAAGGGAAACTCAAATTGTAAAGAACTGTTGCAAGAACCCATAACCTGAAATTTACAAGGTTATAGCCGAATTTAATTTTAAAATGTGCGTACTATTAATTAGTGCTGGAAGTTGGAACACTGAATGATGTGTGATACATATAAAAAAATCAATGCAAAAATATTTTCTATTAGAGGTTATGGGTTTAATAAATATATTATTATCGTAGTCACGTAGAAACTAAGGTTGAAAATAGGGTCTAATCTATAGGGTCTGTTGAACTATGTTATAACCGCATGGGGGAAACTTGATCTAAGAAGTACCTACTTCCGAAATCCAATTTAAATTTATGAAATATGTAATTTATAGCTCTAGGAACTGCATAACTACCTAATATAAAAATAAATAATACAAATCGGCACGTCAAGCCGATTGATAGCATAGCCGCCGCCGAGGTTTAGCTATGTTAAGCATTATTTTAGGGAATCAATTGTTGTACAGAACGAGTGATCACTCTTGACGGCTTCCAAGCTTTTCACTTCTCTCAGCGACCACCTAGAAATCTATAAATGTATGTACCTACCACCACTCTGTCAGGAACATATCAGTATTGAAAACGTTTTATGTACCTATCGTAAGAAGGTATACAACTAGACAACACCAATTTCAAAAGCTTTATGGAGCAGCGGGTAAATTAAATTTAACTGTTGATATTCACACAAGTGTGGTGTCGGCAAGGAGTGCTCTATCTGAATTTATAGAAAAACATATTGTATTATAAAGTTCATGGTCCTAAGTGTTCCTCATGTAATTTATTTTGTTGTTTTCTTTGTAACAGTTAGCCTAGATTAAAATGATTTTATTTGTATTAATATCCCTGAATATTACATAGTTTGGGTGAAGATTTTTTTTGGCGTACAAAGTTATTTATATTTAGTACATAATTAAGTTATAAGCTGTAAATCTTTGTATAAATAAAAATAATGTACAGATATCTAGCAGTCGCTATACCTTTAAATTCTTGTATAAAAATACAACTTAATACCTTTTAACTTCAGGACTTCTATCCAGGTTATTTAGCATAATACCAAAAAATATTTAGGGCGAGAAACACACCTTTAAAATGCCAGCAACACGCTGCTTACGTTTCTTGTCTGATAAATGTGTATATTTTTTCAAATAATCTTCAAGACTTGGTTCACACACTTTCACGGCGTAGTGATAGAAGTATTGGACCATTTTATAAAAACTCGGGTTTGGATCTTGTGCTACATCTTTTAATTTTTCAGGAATCTCATAACTTCTAACACTGATCAGTAGGGGACTTCTTTTTAATATTAAATTTAATACGATATTCTTATTTAACGTTATTAATACCATATTTAAAATTATTAATGACATTAGTGTTGTAATTAACAATTGACTTTTATCATGTAAAAGGTTTTACTAACTTTAGTTCTTAAAATGGAGTGCTGCTGGCTTTCTCGTAATTTTGTGATAACATACAGGTATCCGCGTAGCTATTCTCCGCGGAACCCCAACCCCCGGACTCACCAGGCGCAACCCGGCTACACCGCTGGTCGCCTCGCTGGGCCTCCCCCCGGCCACCGGGGTCTCACCCGGCGGAGCTTGACCGCGACCGCGTACTGCCCAACCAACCATTGAGACACCAGGGCCAAGTCGAAATACTCCTTGCCCCCAAACCACCGGACCTGACACCCCGGAATAGACCCCATCGGCTGCGCGCAGCGAGTTGAGGCCAACGCCTCCTTGCGCGCTGCAGCCCCCACCAAGAGGGAGAAACCTCGACCCCCGTACCGCCCTGTATTAGCAGGGCGCGAGAAATCAGTCCACCCGAAGGGGCATAGCCCCGAACGGGCTTAAACACACCCCTCTAGAGGGAGTGTGTAACAAAAGCAGAACGGTTGTGATAACAATTCCAATATTGAGTTTTGTTGCTATTTACTACCTTATTTTGAAAAAAGCAATTATTACGGGCAAGTATGAGGTAGTGACTTGCGGAATCGAGCATGAAAAATTGGTCGATCATGGACACGGTCGTGTGTTGTATGTGTATACCTACGTTTATGTAATTGCTGATGATTAAAAGTTAATAAGGGGACATCTTGATTCCCCGTAAATTTAGAGGGAAAACACCCAAGTTGGCATCACTGCGATACGCAGTAAAATAACCTCAAAGACGGAACCCTTCCCCCTCCGGCGCGCGCGATGCGTCTGATGACGGTCTCGCTTATCGTAATTAATTCATTGAACCTCTAGCTGTCTAGTAGTGAAATTTAATTTAAGATAGATTTGGAAGTACAACGCCAAACTGTATCTCCATATTTTGCTTTCGTTAGGTATTTTGGTTTGCCCCCATATGGTACAAATTTAAAGACGTATTTACGTCAAAACCAATATTATTTTTGCAAACTCAACAAAAATCAAAACAGCTTGTTTCTTAAATGTCATTATTAAAAATTTAATTTATCAGGACTAGGATAAGAGAGAGCGTCCAGATCTTAACACCCTACAAGGAGGACATAGTGAGATTCAGAGCCGCGACTTAGTTTGACATATATAAAGGGTACTTTTGTATGTCCATTCTAATATGTTTTAAAATTAAACATACAGGAGTCCCACTTAATACTAAGTATCTTAGAATAAGAACTTGAACTACATGAACACTATGTATTTACAGATGCAGAGGCAATGCAAACCTCAATTACAACTGATCTTAGCTCAGATCATTGTGACAGTTAGTGGCGCTAAAATGTAAAGTGGTGAGCAGTGTGTTTGTTCCAGTAAATAAAAAGCGAATGGTGAGATTTAGACATAATATAGGTAACACCTACCTTTATTACCGGTAGGTACTACCGTTGATACACAAACAACAATCTAAGTGATTGTATTAATAAAGAGTTCAACACCATCTTTACCCCAAAGAAAGTCTCTCATTCGCAGTGTAAATCGTTTAGTGATTGGGCGACACGGGAATTTATAAAAGTAGACAACGGTTGTATGACCTTTACGCTGAAAAGTCATACAATCATAATGAAGAATTTATTCTTTATGTTCGAAATTATTTAAGAAAGTTTGTTACGCGGCCAAGTCCTTAAATATTTTTAAGATTTAAAAATATACCAAAAAAAAAATGACTTGGAAGATATGAAACTGGAAGAGTCAGGGCGCAATCAACACATCGAACATTGTCGATAACACTATAATCAAATCTAACGAAGAGATAGCGATTTTTTGATAAGTACTTTTCTGACTTCCAATTTCGACTACTAAGTCTCTTCAATCATCTCCCGCCCTCGCTAATCGATGCTCAAAGATAATGTAAACGAGTGCAAGGTCAGTTTTACATTCCGACCCATTGGTGCCGACGATATAGTGAGGATATTTAGAACCATAGATATTAAGAACACTCGATCTTTGGGGTATTTCTGTAAAAATAATTAGTAGCATAATTGATGTAATTGCTCCCCATCTAGCTATAATTTTCAACAATTGTATTAAAAGTGGCGAGTTTCCCGATCTAATGAAAATAGTAAATTATTCCATTATTTAAAGCAGGTAGTATGTCCGACCCCAGTAACTTTAACCAATTTCCGTACTACCTACTTGTAGTAAAATATTTGAAAAAATTATATTAAATCAACTGGTAAGTCATTTTAACTAAACAATTATTACCTACAAATAATCAGTTCGGTTTTACCAAGGGTCGCTCGACACCGATCCGGTGTTGAGTTATATAGATATATAGTTAAGGCTTGGGAGGAGTCGCATGACGCTTTAGGTGTTTTCTGCGACTTATCCAAAGCATTTGATTTGTCCAACCGAGACCTTAATCGGGAAACTCCGCCACTAGGCAAAACCGCACTGAATCTTCTAACTTCCTATTTACACGGAAGAACTCAGAAGGTTGAAGTGAATGGTAAGAGGTCCTCTGGGTCGGCAGTAGTATGGGGTACCACAGGGCTCAATTCTTGGCCCTTTCCTCTTTCTTGTTTATATAAATGATCTACCTTTCATGGTAGAGAGAAAAATCAGATAGTTTTGTTTGCTGATGACACGTCCTTGATTTTTAAAATCAAACGACAAATAACAAATAAAAAATAACTTTATTTAAGAAGCTCAAAATTGTATCTCTCATGTATTTATTTTAGAGATATCCTTATTCGTGCACAGAAACATACATATTTTTAAGTCGAATGTAGAAGTTGAAGTAAGAATAGACATGGGAAGAATTTGGCTGTGCCAAAAATCAATCTGGAACTTTTCGAAAAACAGCTTTTATATGGCAATTAAAGTCTACAATAAATTACCAAAAGAATTAAAAGATCTTCCGTCTAGATTCTTTAAAAAGCGACTTAGTGAATTGCTTTTGGATAAAGTTTACTTTCAATAAATGATTATTTGCATGAAACACCGTAAATGATATAAAATTAATGATGAAATGTATATAATATAATAGGCTGGATAATATAGGAATTGGCTTTGAATAATATTGTAAAATTCTTTGGGACGAATTTGCGCGCCATCGTGTGTGGCAGAAATGCGAACGATTTATGATTGTATCACCTTAGCATTTGTACCATATTCTTCAATAAATAAATTATTATTATTATTATTAACAAATTTTGACGATGTGAACAATACTCTGTCTTCGATTGTCCATTGGTTTAGTATGAATAACCTTCTACTAATGCAAAAACAAAATGCATTAAATTTTGTGCAAAAATGCAAGGGTTATGGATACTAGCCAATATAAACGGTGAAGAATTGATCTGGATGATACAACTGTATTTCTCGATCAACTGGATTCAAAACTTCAGTGGTCCCCTCATATTAACGGATTGGCGAAGAGACTTAGTTCTGCAGCCTAGCGGTTAAAAAAATTCGCTCACACTGTGTCGATACAGCTAGACTTGTTTATTTTAGTTACTTTCAAAGCTTAATGACTTATGGCTTATTATTATGGGGTCATGCTGCTGATGTCGAAACTATTTTCATCCTGCAGAAGAGGGCTATACATGCAATCTATATTTAAAATGTAGGGAATCTCTTAGAGATAAATTCAAGGAAATTAATATACTTACCTTTCCCTCGCATATTTATGAAAATATTTGTATGTATACAATAGTGATAAGTTTACTAGAATAGAACATACCACATGTTAATACACGGAACACAGGCTGCAATTTCCCCGTACAACTATCTAAAGTTAGTAATTCTTTTTGGGGAAAGGGATACTCTTCTTTATAAACCCAAGGTCTTAACTCCTTTCAATAAATTTAAGAAATGTATTAAAGAAAAGCTTACTATAAATCAACGATTATCTAGTTGATAAAAGGGCCTGGGACTAGTGCTAGACGGCTACTTCTAATTAATTTGCGATATTTGTTTTAAATAAGTGTTGTTTGATGATTTGCTGTTTTAAAAGAGTACCGAGAGTTTTTTACGCCGGCTTTTTCTCTCGGCCTACACCCTCTGTCTTCTTTGCCGATGAGTAGGGATGCCTTCAAATTTAATGACGTGGAATAAGTGATACATTATCTTATGTTCCATAATAAACATATTTTATTTATTTTATTTTTACAATTCTCGGATATCTGAAATTATTGAATTTCGACTCTGAAAATTACCTTACAATATACCATACAGAGTATAGTAGTTTGTGGTCTTCTGTGCAAATCACTGTATTGCCTAAAACTAAACTAAAACTTAATTTCTCGATATCAAGAAAGTATGTGCGATAATCATAGAAAAAGCAATGCAAATGGTAAGTCGTATAGAACGTTAAACAAAGATTTAATTTAAACAACTTAAGCTGACTTTGTACTTTTGTTTTCAGGAATTAATTTAAATTGTCATATCATATTACAACTCTTAATTAAAAATATTTGTTCTTATTTTATTTGTGTATGCTTACAAAATTCATTTCATTAATGTTTAATGCATAAGAACGAATAAATGAATTAATAGACATAAATATATAATTTATTTTCACTTATCAAGCCTACAAATCGGGTTGTTTTGGACCATCTGAAGGTCCACTTTGGGTCCAACCAGGTCCCTTATATTATTAAGGCCATATTTGATCATAGTTGGACGTTCTAACGAGAGCCCCCACGCAATCACGTTAACATCCTCAGGCAGGCCCATGGGCAGAAGCATTTCTGGTCGGAAAACTCCGGAATTTCCAATCTCAATCCATTTCCCAAGACCTGAAAAATTCAAAGCAGATTTTTTAACCCCAGTGGAATAAACGTTTTTCATAAGTTGTTAGATCCTAAAGCATTACTAGTACTTCTCAATACTCAGGTTGTGACTTCCTGAGGTCTCACCAGGTAATAAAAAAATATTTTATGGTA